GTTACCTTCTCCACCTCGGCTTTAAGACTTGCTGAAGTTTAACCCAGAATTTCTATGCATTCCCTGTCCCATAACATGAAGTTTCCATACCCTGTGTTGTCCATAATACACACACTGACCTTGTAGCTGAATCATCAGAGTAACAATTTTTATTACTAAAATAAAAACGTGAACATCCTACACCCATAAAAGCACATTAGGTTAAGTAATGAACCGATAAACTCCTTCTGCCATTGACATGCTGCAAGTTGTACACCTAAACCGTTCCTCTTCTGGTTGCAATTTTTTGTGGCATGTTGGGCAACTTAGGTAGCACCATTCTCGATAGTTTTCTATAGAAACTATCTCAGCAAGTACCCAATAAACATTCTCCTATCCAAGTATAATTTTCTTATTAGCAGTGGATATATTTATTCAAAATGCGAAATCTATTACTCTAGCTTCAGGACACACCTCAGTTGCCTTCATCAAATCCTCCATGGTGGTAATGACAGCATTTCCACCGAGTATATCATCCCTCCCTTCCGCATGTGAGCATTGCGTGTTGCAGGTTTGAGTCGTGGTGTCATCACCATCTGCTGGAAACCTGTATATTGCATGGTAAACAGACTTTAGTTCTAGGATACTTGAGTTTTAGGAGATTTTTTTATGAAATTGGGTAGTCAGAGTTTAGTTTTAGGAGATTTAATACGCATACTCGCTTTGGAACTCTAAAAACTCAGTAGTGTTCCCGTTGATTATGAGCTTTGATACATCAAAAGATGAATTCACTGTCAAGATCCCTGTGTTTAAAACAGCACTACCATAAGCTTTGGCTACTGTGTACTACATAATGAGTGCTGCTAAGTTTCTCAAACCTTGGTATCTTTTTGGCCTACATAGTTGAAATATCACGAAGACAGGCACTCCTTCATTAGCATTAACATAATCCAGATACTGGTTTATGTACTTGTTCCACAATACGGCGCCCAATCTGTTACCCCTGTAGTTTAGAAAAGTTTCATTCAATGAGCATGTGTCTTTTGTTTTGCTAAAATCGTTTAAGTTGTAAAACTTACTCCGGGTCTGTCAAAGTCAACTCCATTAGCCTATCAGTCCTCCCATTAATTATGTGGGTCTGGATAAGGCTCTTGGACAGAACCTTCCCAATGACATCTTCATAATTAAACGATAGAAACTGTAATTAGGATATTTGTGCAAGCAATGTAGTATGGAAAAATTTGACTCTAACTCACCAATTAGAGTTTTGTCGTTGATAACTCTTTGGGCATGCAACATATCAAAAGGCTGAAAATCATACACCATCATAGGCATTTCCGTCTTCGTATCTTCCCTCAACAGGGTTTTTGAGATGAACTGAATTATGTAGGGATGACTTGTAGTCTTCAGTGTTTGGTAATTGTCAAGCACCAAAAAGTTTCTTATGGCATAAATTTTGTTCTCTGTAATATTAGGCTTATACATTGCTATATGCGGCCTCTTGATAATGGCGTGAATCCGATCTCCCTAGTAAGAATTTACATTGGATTAAGAAAAGTTGAGCAAAAGACGCCATAGAAGTTAGATGTTACAAACCATACCTCTGCGTCATGCAAAACCATTTCAAGAGTCTCCCCGCCCTTAGAGTGTGGAGGAACTTCGTATGCCCTAACTACCCGAACCTTGATTGCCCAGGTCGTCTTTGTGTGATCGATATCCTTGAGCAAGGACCACATCCCTTGTGCTGATGAAGCGGTTGCCATTGCACTGATTTTGAACTTTTGAACTTAAAAATACAGCTGCTGAATACTGGTTTGTGGTATGTTGTGGTCATCCCCTGCTTGGGTATTTATATTGGATAAATGAGAGAATAACCTAGGTTGAAAATACCACACAATCTCAATATTAAGATTTGTAGTACAATGCATTAATTATAAGGTGAATCAATTGGGTTAACCAAGGGTTAAAAATACCCACTCAATCTTTACATTGAGATTATGTAGTACATTGCATTTATTGTTTGTGAGGCTCAAGACATGTTTGGGTGGCTCCAATTCAGAACTATCAAGTACAAATACCCATTCAATTTTTACATTGAGATTATGTAGTACATTGCATTTATTGTTGTGAGGCTCAAGAAATGTTTGTGTGGCTCCATTTATTGTTCAGAACTATCAAGTACAATGTCTAAATTAATATTGTTATGCCAAGATTGTACAATGCATTAAATGTTTGTGTGGCTCAAGGTTTACTTTTAAGATTTGAAGTACAATTTACTTCATTTTTTAATCATCACATCAGATTTCACATTAAATGTTTGTGTGGCTCTGTACTATTTTAGTGGCAAGCATTAAAGAGCATCAGTGGATCTGCCCAGGACCCGTTTGTGCACCCATAGTGACCCGACCCGACCCAACAGTGCACTGCATTTGGGCGGGAACACTGTTCATTTTTTCTTTTGGCTTTGTATAATAGAAGATATTTTCTTTTACTTTTAACTCATATTCAACTATTCACCCCTGCCCTGCCCTTAAGCTAACCGCAACCCAGTCCGTCAATAAATCTAATTCCCCTCCAGTTTATACGTATTCACGCAGTCAATTCAGTTTTTCTCTGCAACCCAGCACCGTCAACATATCCACTCCCAGCACATTTCTTTTAATTAAAAACATAAATCCTTAGTTATTTTATTACACATCATTTATGTGTTAATTTTATTTTTAACAATAATTATTGTTTAAAAACTCAAACATTCCGATGTAAAAAAATAAAAAAGTGTATTTATTTTTTTGTAAGTATTAAAAATGCGTACTTGAGTTCAATTTGAAATAAATTTAAAATTATTAATTGTTTTCTATATTTTAATATTATTAAGTTTTCATTTCATATACTATGAACTTGTTTAACATTAAAAGGTCAAAAATTCTGATATAAAAATAAATAAATTTGGAGTTTAGTTTTTTTATTACTTCAGACTTATTTTGAATAAATAATAGTTGATAGTTGTAAAAAAATATTGAACAATGCGATCTTAATTTTAATACTTGAATCTATTTCAAAAAAGTTTTAGATATAGAACTCTCCAATAGTTGAATTTTTTGTATTGAAATTTATATATGCTAAATTGATATCAAATGAAAGGTTATAAAAAGTTATGAATTTTGGTATATTGTTTATAAAATTTGGAGTTTAAATACCAAAGTTATAATAGTTTAAATAAAAAGTTAATTTACTTTCTCTTGGTCCCACTTGCTGGCTACATCTTTTGCTTTTAAAAGAGTCGATGAAGGAGCTACCTTTCCCTCCCCAAGGTTTCCCATACTCCCTATGGCTCCCTCTTATACAATTTTTTTGTCTGGGTTGGAGCTTATTTGGGATGAATACCTCAAATTTGGAGTTTTCACCCCATGGGTTGCACATGTGGTGGTCGCCGCTGGAAAGTTTTGCAAGACTTTTTTTTTCTTCATTTTTTTCCTATTTTCGTCGGAAAAAGTCATTCAAATTTTTTCGACGTTTATAGGGACATGTTTCACGGTTGTAATGACATCCGTGATGGCGACAACGATACCTAATAATTACATAAAAATTTGGCAGTGATCTAAAAATCCCGCAATGATAAATATATAATAGTGATATATTGGTTTTTCATATTTATTATCTCGTTAATCCTATTTTTATATGTGTATAAAAATAGTCACTTTTTGAAAGTAGACTTTAATTTTATGATGTTTTAGGAAACCCCCCTAACATTAACCGAAATAGATTATAGAGCATGACTTCTTAATATGGCATGTTCGGTAATTTTAACAAAAATATAGAGTCCGTTTGGTGACCCTATTTTTCGGTTTATCAGATTTATTAGCCAACTTTTTCATCAAACACATAATTTTTTATTATGCACGCTCAGTTGTGTAATAATAAGAAAACCCAATGTTATACTCTGAGTAGTTATATTTCTGACCGTATTGATTGAACTTATTGTAGAAGCTCATTTTAGCTATGTTTTCATATATTTTTTTCTTTATTTTATTAATAAAATATATTTAATTCATTTTATTTTATAAATCATTAGAATCAGTCAATCCAGTTACTTCAGAAACAACTTCATAAATTTCAGCAAAAATAACTGATTTGGATATTATAGTATTATCATAAGGGCTCATAATATAATAATTTATGGAGTGAGTAGTCTCTGAGCCTCAATATAAATAAATAAATTAATCTAAAATGAATTGGTTTCCATTTTTATATCAGTTTTTCCTTAAATATTACTAATAAAAATGTTATGGCAAAAAACGTGACTTAGTGGCCAATGATGACTATAATTATGTTCAAAGTTTAAATCACAGTAACTTACATTTAATTACTACCATGTAAATTTTAAACATAACTGCAGCCACTAATAGTTAAGGAGTATTAAGTACTCGTAATTTTTTTGTCCATCACAATTTACAGAGTAATACTCCTTCCGTTCTTAAATGTTTGTCTCTTATTCCATCTTGGATTGTTCTTAAATATTTGTCATTCTTTCCATTATTAGAAAGTTTTTCAGTAGATATACATTCATCATCTCTCATAGTTTTTCATTTTCTTTCATATTTTTTAATTTAAATACAACCATTACACCTTTTACATTATGTATGTGAAAGACTAAGGAGACAAATATTGGAGAAGGAAAAGAGTGCTTATGGAATTATTTGTAAGTGGTTAGGAAAAGCAAAAAAAAAAAAGGAAAATCCACAAAAATAAGTACTCATTCCGTCCCGTTGGAATGTCCCCCGCTTTCCTTTTTTGGATGTTCCGTTTGAAAATTCCCATTTCCCTATAAATGGGTCAAACAGTGCAAAACAATATCAAACAGTGTCGAAACAATGCCAAAAAATGTCGAAACAATGTAAAAACAGTAGAATTTACTGTAAAAAAAGTGTAAAAAGTGTAAAAACAGTGTAAAAACAGTAAAAACGATGTAAATTTTACCCCTTAAATTTATTTATCAAACCCGTAACGTTCCCACCGGAGGAAGGGAGTATTACGCATCAAGTTGGGGGTGCGCGGAGAAGCGGCTCATTCAGAATAGGAAGTCCTAGCCTATGTTAGTTAGCTGCTGAAGGATTTTGCCACTTTCATGTTAGGTAACATCACTTCTCTGATCTCTCTGCCAGTCCTCCCTATCACGGACATATATTATATATCTTTTCTCCAATCGCAATGTGTCAAATGCTGACCACCTCGATCGTTTTATTCTCTTTTCTGTTTTTGCAGATCTAATCTGGATTCATGGCATCGCCTGGTGAGAATTGTGTTCCTAGCAGTGCCCTGCACTATTTATTATACAATCTTAGGTTCCGTAGTTTGATATTTTTTGTTTCTTTTAAATGTGACCTGATAAATGCTGGAGCTGAATGTAGCCGGTTATAGATTAATACAAGTTAGAGTAAAATGAATTGACGATCACACATAGTAAACGCTTGGAAAATGAAAATGTAGCTTAATTATGTCTCATTTCAATATCTCTAGAATCCATTATCCGGATTTGGTAGCAATATTGCATGGTCAAAGATGAGATTCTCTTTTATGCATCTATGATTTTGTACTTTCAAAGACCTCACTTTGGCAATAGTAGGCTTTTAGTTTTAAACTAGCTATATGATAGATTTGTTGTGATTGCATAGTCCGTACCAGAGTTACTGTGCATAATTTTACTAAGAAATTATTTTTTTGTATGAAAATTAAAATGATATATTGATGTCTGATTTAGTGTTTCGTGAAGTTTCACTTCAAAATTCCAAGCTTTCAATAAGAATTACATAATTTTTTGCCCGATATCAAAGTTTGATATACGACTATATCCACGGCCAAATGGCCAAAACAAACCCTGAACATTCTATAAAAAGCTCTGGTTGACACTGAACTCATTAAACATCCCATTTAGCCCCAACTGGCCCTTGACATGCCATGTATGCAAATGCCTCAAACATAAACGTGAATAGGTACATGAAGAAAGCTCCAAGCTAGGATGAGACAGGTCACAACACATTATAGATCCAAAGTTTTGATGAATTCAGGTCATTCAAGGTTCCATAGAAAATTCAGGGCCATTATGTGGTATTTGTCAATATATGATATATCCACAAATTGGAGGTACCAATATATGCATGGAAGTCGATATTTTCATTATTAGGCTCATCAGTCACTGAAAAGTACTGTTTAATGGGTCTAAAACTCTAAATGAGAGAAAATATGTGGTCTTTGGAGTTGATTCTAGGTAAGGGGAATTAGTGATAAGATTGCTTTCAAATGATTCCTTGGATTCGTAAATATCTTTCTTTCAATATTCTTTTTCTTATGCCTTGATAGTGATTATGTTGGAGTAGATTGCAGTTGAAAAACCTGACTAGCTTTATGTTAAGAAATGCTGAATTTAATTGTTTTTTTTGGCAAAACAGGTTTTGTACGCGAAACATCAGTAGTAGTTGTCACACTGGAATCTAGTGAGGTTTATATCATTGTTAGTTTGTATTCGAAGACTGACACACAGGTTATCTATGTTGATCCCACAACTGGAGCTTTGCGATTTAATGCTAAGTTTGGATATGATACATTTCATTCTCAAGAGGAAGCTTTGAACTTCATTACAAATGGTTCCAAGTGGCGGTGCAAGAGTCTAACTTATGCCAGGGCAATATTGGGGTATGCAGTGCTTGGGAGCTTTGGTTTGTTACTTGTTGCAACAAAAGTTTCAGCCAGCATTCCCAATTTGCCTGGTGGAGGGTGTATATATACTGTGATGGAGAGTCAATGGATCAAAGTTACACTCCAAAACCCTCAGCCAGTAGGGAAAGGAGAACTCAAGAATGTTCAAGAGTTGACTGACCTTGACATTGATGGAAAACACTACTTTTGTGAAACTAGGGATATCACTCGGCCTTTTCCTAGCCATGTGACATTGCAGACACCAGATGATGAATTTGTTTGGAATAAATGGTTTTCAATTCCTTTCAAAAACATTGGGCTCCCTCATCACTGTGTCATTCTTCTGCAGGTTCAGAACTTTGTTATTTGCTTATCTTTGAGTTTTTGAATTATTTATACTGTGAAGTAGTTGTTTCATACTGTCTACACAGACCCTTCTTAGTGAACACTTTTGGCTTTTTAGGGGTTTGTTTGCAGATATATGTGCATGTCTTCATGCTCGTATGGTATGTATTATTATGTCATTGATATGTAACACAGTAACAGTATCAAGAAGATCATACCATGTTTCATTTCTTGAATTTTGAACACCTTTATGGACTTGTTGAAATCCTAACCCTAGATGTGCCTGGTGCTTAGACCATTTTGTGTACTGTGTAGTTATCCCTAGTTGTCGCTTTAAATCTAGCTATTATATAACCCTTTGATGTATCAATAAGAATAAAAGTTATATTTTACATGGTATCAGAGCTATGCATTCTGATTTTTAGTATAGCTTCCAGTCTTATTTTGTAGTTTCAGTTTCCGGGTGGACTGCTTTCTTGCGACTGTTCATCGTCCAAGCCCTTTCTGGTAGTTTTTTTTTCAATACCAAGAGTACCGCCCACCTCAGAACGTCAACACAACCCACCACCAGAAATCCCACCATCAGAAACCAATCACACGCCATCACAGTGGTAAAAAATCAGCATGACTCGTCACCAATTCTACAGCTACCTGCTGCTCCGTTTTTGCCACACTTTGCCGCTGGACCTACGCCACCAGCCCTTTCTGTGAATGCGCAGATTCTAAATTCTACTCTCACTACCATGCGTACTCTCATTGACAAACCAGTCAGTTTTGCATCTCCAGTTGTGCTTTCACCTATGGAGTTTGCTGTATACTCGTGTAGTAATTCAAGGCACCAATCTTTCTACAACATGCGTTTCAAACAATTCCAATATGCAGATCCTTGATTCTGATGCTTCTGTTCATTTTTCTAGTAATTAATATCTTCTATCAAATTTATCAAAACCTTCACATAAACCACACCCTCAACAATGGGCATTAGATCCCAACTATGGGAATGTCAGGCTCTTTCACAATCATCCATACCCTTAAAAGATGTTTTGTATGTGCAAAATAATCCATTTAATCTTATATCTATTGGCCAAGTCACTTGGTCTCAATGATTCTATAACCTTTTTTTTCTGATTTTGTGGTTGTGCAAGTCCATTGTACAGGGAAAGTAATTGGTGTTGAGGATAAATCTCACGACCTCTAAATCTGTTGCCACATCTGTCCATCTCATAAATAGAACTTCCTCAAAATCTATTGCCGACTCCAGTCCCTACTTTAAACTCTATGGGTCCATACCAGATTATTTCTTTCTCAAGGTCTTTGGCTGTTCATGTTACCCCTTTATTAGACCTTATAACAAGCACAGAATGGTTTTTCATTCTGAAGAATGTATTTTTCTAGGCTATTCCTCTCAACACAGAGGTTATAAGTGTCGATCTCCATCTGGAAAGATTTACATCTCCAGAGATGTCATTTTTCACGAGTCCAAGTTTCCCTATTCAATTCTTTTTCCACCTACTACCTCAAACTCTAGTACAACTTCATCCATGTCCTCTGCTCCAATCAGTGTCCTTCCTTCATATCTTTCATCCATCTCTACTATTTCCCCTTCTTCACAAACCACTGCATCACAAACTACTGAATCATAGAGTCCATCTCACTCTTCCACTCCATTGTCTGCCCATTTTGACCAATCAGCACAACCTAGTTTATCTTCTTCTCCTGAAACATCATCTTCTTCCACATCTTCACCATCACCTCATGCATTAACTAACACTCATCCCATGACCACTAGAGCAAAATCTGGAATGGTAAAACCTAGACTTCATCCTACCTTACTATTAGCCCATACCGAGCCTAAATCAGTTAAGCAAGCTCTTTCATTTCCTATCTGGTTTGCCGCTATGAAATCAGAATATGATGCTTTGATGAAGAATCACACATGGTCTTTAGTTCCCCTACCACCAGATAAGCAGGCAGTAGGTTGCAAATGGGTGTTCAGAATCAAGGAAAACTCAGATGGTTGCTAAAGGGTTTCACCAGAGATTTGGATTTGTCTTTGGAGAAACATTTTCACCCGTTGTCAAACCAACAGCTTAATGTAAACGATGCATTCCTAAATGGGGAATCAGAGGAAGAGGTTTACATGGTACAACCTCCAGGATTTCAGGTCAAAGGCACCTCTCTAGTGTGCAAATTGCATAAGTCCCTCTATGGGCTCAAACAAGCTCCAAGAGCTTGGTTTCAAAAACTCACCTCAGAACTGTACAATGCTGGTTTTAAACAGAGCAAATGTGATCCTTCTTTGCTCATTTTTGTGTCATCTGGAATTCAAATCTACACCCTTATATATGTTGATGACATTTTAGTTATTGGAAATAACTCTGCAGCCATTCAACAACTCATTCATAAACTGCACTCCTCATTTTCTCTCAAAAACTTAGGAGATATTGATTTCTTCATAGGGATTGAGGTCAGAAAAACTCTCAGGTGGCAGTTTGCACCTGTCTCAAGCTAAGTATGTGAGAGTCTGAGAGATTTACTTCATCAAGTTGGAATGTCAGACTCTAAAGGAGTCAAAACACCTATGGTTAGTAACTGCAAGCTTACTCATCAAGGTAGTGAGGCATTACCTGATCCTTCTACCTACAGGTCTATTGTTGGAATACAGCAGTATGCCACTTTAACAAGACCTGAAACAAGGCGTGTCGGTTCATGGCTACACCTTTACAAGATCACTGGAAAGCTGTCAAACACATCCTAAGATACCTCTCTGGACTATCACACATGGAATTATTATCAAGCCTATTCCTCTAATTACTACATCTCTACCTATTTCAGCCTTTTGTGATGCTGATTGGGCCACTGATCCTGTTGACAGAAGGTCTACATCTGGGTCTTCTATTTTTCTTGGGCCCAATATCATCTCTTGGTGGTCCAAGAAGCAATTGCGTGTGGCCAGATCCTTAGCAGAGGCTGAGTATAGAAGTATAGCAGACACCACATCAGAATTGCTATGGGTTCAGTTCTTGCTTAATGAACTTCAAGTTCCTTTTCAAACTCCCAGAGTGTACTGTGATAACCTGAGTACAGTTCAGCTAGCTCATAATCCTGTACTCCACTCTCGGATTAAACACATGAAGATTGATCTCTTCTTTTGTAAGGGAAAATGTTCAATCCAAGCAGCTTGCAGTCCACCATATTCCAGCTCTTCATCAACTTGCTGATGTCCTCACAAAACCTTTATCAGCCTCCTCTTTCCTTGATCTGAGGACCAAACTTAGTGTGATTGAATTTACAAATCAATCACCCTAACTTTGAGGGGGGAATGTTAGGAATACTGTACAAGCCCGGATTGTAATAAGCCTAGTCTACGTAACAGATTAATATTGAGGAGTCTGCTTGTTATCAGTTTGTTAAAAGTCTTGATGACTATAAATACTTGTACAGTTCACTTGAATCAGTTTGTTATCTTTCAACTACTTTCTAAGTTCTGTTACATTTCTAATATCATTACATGTGATGATGAACAAAAAATCACTCAACTTGAGGAATATATCTTTAGCAATTTCCAAATAAAAGGTCTCGTAAAAAGTATTTGCATGGTATTTAGATCGCATAGTCTCATGATGGTATTGTCCTCTTCCAAAGAAAGTATGCGTTGGATATACTTGAGGAAAAATGTATGTAGGATTATAGACCTGTGAATACACCACGACGATCGATCCAAATTTGAAATGTAGAACTCTTACTTGAATCGGCGAATAGGGGAAGCATTTACTGGACCGAGAAAGATACAAATGACTCATTGGAAAACCAAATTATATCAGTCGCAGTATGCATACTTCGCCAGTTTATGGATAGATAAGCCCTGTGATGGTCATTGGGATGCAACTACTTGAGTCTTGAGATAAAAAACACCAAGTCACGTGTTACATTATGAAGACCGAAACCATAATTACATTGTGAGATATTACGATGCAGATTGGGCTAGATGTCTGATGGATAGATGTTGTACTTTTGGATATTGTATCTTGATTGGTGGAAACTTGATTTCATGGAAGAGTAAGAAACAAGATGTTGTGGTAAGGTAAAGTGTTTAAGCAGAGTACCGTGCAATGTCACTTGCTGCATGTGAGATTTTATGATTAAATGACGTTATTCAAGAATTGAAATACATTAGTGTGAAATCAGTGCAACTGATGTGTGATAACCATGCCACAATGCGCATCACATTTAACCAAGTATAATCGAGAAAAGATTATAAATGAACAAATTATCAAAATTATGTGAACACGACACATCAACTTGGAGATGTTTTAACAAAGTGTCTTTGAGATTGTAGTGTATAATATTATTCTAACAAGTTTTGGTTCATATGATTTATATGCTTCAGCTTGAGGGGGATTGTTGAAACCCTAACCCTAGGTGTGCTGGTCCTAGCCCACTTTGTGTACTGTTTGTAGTTAATTCTGGTTGTTACTATAAATAAGTATAAGCCATTATATAATCTTTTGATGTATCAATAAGAATGAAAGTCTTTTATTTTACAGAAATTGCTCTAAATAGGAGCAAAAACGTTTTGAAATTCCAAAATAGGAGTATCATGTTTTTTATTCCCTGAATAGGAGTAATCTGCCAAATTTTGAAAAAAGTGCCATGTTTTAAAGCCTAGTAATTCCAAACTTGGCAGAAATTTACTCATATTTAAGGAATAAAAAACATGATAGTCCTATTTTGGAATTTCAAAACTTTTTTACTCCTATTTAGGGAATTCTCCCTTTATTTTACTGAACTGATGCATACCATGATACCATGCATCCACATAAGACTTTCACTTGTAACCAAAATACCAAATACTTTCATATGTACTGAAACCACATTCAATGCTTCTATATTTTTCCGGTATATGTGTTTCTCATTGGAATGAGACCAATGTATAGGGGTTTGCAGATTGTCGGGGTTTTGGAAGCTTAGGCCAACAAGAAGGGGTTGTTGCCCTCATTGCTCGTCGTAGTAGGCTGCATCCTGGCACTCGGTATATAGCACGGGGTTTGAATTCTTGCTATAGTACAGGTAGCATAAAACCTTGTTTTCTCTCCAATTATTATGATTTCATATATTTCCATAATTTTTTTTTGTGTTTGAAGAAAACTGTATTGATTATGCAGGTTCATGTTTTGACATAATTTTGCTTCTTATATATATAATTGTATATAATAACTATACCCGCACGGGTAGCTCAGTTGGTCGAGCGGTGGGAAAAATTGGACGTAGACCAAGGTTCGAATTCCGCAGCGGCCAAAAGGGGGTTTTCAGAACCTGAAATAAGGCTGGCCCTCTGGTGCGCACGGGTAAAGGCCTACTGCCGCTTTGCCGACTGAGTCACCGTGATTCACTCCCCCACCATCCTGTCGGGTCGGGGTGGGGGGCCCTTGGGGTTGGGGATTCAACCTTTTGGACGTATATAATAGCTATTGATAAATATGATTCTTTTGGAATATTATCACATTATTCCTCCTTAATGTTGTACTACCTCCGTCCCAAATTGATTTGCAAATTTGACTTTTCTTGGTTAAATAGTTTCATTTTATGCACTTAATTAGGATGTCAGTTATTTTTTATATTTTAATTTGGAGTTTGCAACTTTGAAGAGATTTTCATGTAGTTTCTGAATATGTAAATTTTAATTATTAAAAGTTGAATTAATTATCAATATGGAGGATTTAACTTTAACATTGGTTGACCAAAAAATGTTGACTTTGCAAATCAATTTGAGACGGAGGGAGTATGTGACAACATGTCTATAGTTCCCAATATAAAAGGTTAACCACTAGTACAAGTGCATAGCACCATAATATAGCCTACTCATAGGTTCATCTCATGTCCTAAAAACATATGACATATCTTCCATTAACAACTAAGCGTGCTTCAATAATTACACAGATACCTTTGCTTTGATCAGAATATGCACATTGCTTAGTGGGAAAAGAAACACACAAAACAACCTAGGGGGGTTTAGGTACTAAACAATATGCCCAAGTACGTGTTCGATAAAAAACATAAATTGAAATTTGCATGTTAAATGAAGTGTGCTGATAATAACATCATAGACAATGGAAATAGCGATTATGGCAAATAGGGGAGATATTTTCAAGTGCACAACGTAATAATTGCTTGTGCTATGGCGTAGACACTGTTATGCTTTATTTTGCATGAGTTTATAGTGTTACCTAATTTTAGACAATTATTTGGCACTACAGATAGTGTCAATTGTCACCTATAGTCCCACCTTATCCATCATATTTGATATTAAGGTGGTGGTGGTGGTGATGCATGTAATAGTTTGTTCTTCTATTCTAGATGAAATGAGTGTATAATATTATGATTGCTATTATTGAATGGGTAAATATAAAGCAAGCTAGCAACCAATGAAGTGAACTGTTTATCTGTTCCTCTTCCTGTCTATGTAAACTATATTTGCTTAATTGTTTCCTATTTACTCCTTCTTCCTATTAATACTGACTGAAAGAATGCAAGGGTTTATGATCTAATACGGTTGCTGAAAATTGAATGGCTGCATGTATCAGTAATCTAGTGAAAAGCAAAGCAATACTGAAAAGTGAAATTTCGAGAAAAGGAAAATCGATTCTCTTCATTTGGAGAAGCCTATGTCTTCATGCTGTTTAAACTCTAGATTTTCTCTGCAGAAAATATATGTTTCTTTTTCTTATTTTAGATACTGCATTATATTGTTGGCCTTCTTCTTAGACAAAAGGTTACTTTTTCCCGTGTTTAGTTTGCTTCAATGCATCTGCTTCTCAGTGACTATCCAGAGATGAATGACCAACATATTACTTACTGTCTAACGGATGATACTACATTGTGTTGCTATATTTTGCTGAAGCTCATGGAGTCATGGTTGCATAAAGATTGTTTGTAATTTATGTTCCTTTCTAAGCTACTATGCATAGTTTTACCTATTATGTATACTGTTCAATGGACAGGCAATGAAGTTGAGTGTGAGCAGCTCGTATGGATTCCCAGAAAGGTTAGCCAAAGTGTTCCTTTTAATAGTTATGTTTGGAGAAGAGGAACTATACCTATTTGGTGGGGGGCAGAGTTGAAGATGACTGCTGCAGAGGCAGAAATATATGTTTCTGATCATGACCCTTACAACGGAAGTGCTCAGTACTATCAGAGGTTATCCAAAAGATATGATGCTCGAAACATAGAGGAATCTGTGAATCAGAAAAAAGTTGCTTTGGTTCCAATTGTGTGTGTTAACTTGCTCCGATATGGAGAAGGAAAGGCAGAGTCTATTTTAGTTCAGCATTTTGAAGAATCCATGAACTATATCAGATCTACAGGTAAACTTCCTCAAACTAGAGTGCACTTGATAAATCTTGATTGGCATGCCAGCGTAAAAGCAAAAGGAGAGCAGCAAACAATTGAAATACTTTGGTGCCTCTTAAAAGCACCTACAATTTCCATAGGCATTACTGAAGGAGATTATCTACCTTCCCGCCAACGAATTAAAGATTGTAAGGGAGAAATCATATGCATTAATGACTTTGATGGAGTTTTTTGTTTAAGATCACATCAAAATGGAGTGATACGTTTCAATTGTGCGGATTCACTGGATAGAACAAATGCTGCTAGTTTCTTTGGTGCACTCCAGGTTTTTGTAGAACAATGCAGACGAATTGGCATATCACTTGATAGTGATATGGCGTATGGATATCAATCATTTAACAACTATGGTGGATATACAGCCCCTTTACCACCTGGCTGGGAAAAAAGAGCAGATGCTGTCACAGGGAAATCATATTATATTGATCACAACACTAGGACAACTACTTGGAATCATCCTTGCCCGGACAAACCATGGAAAAGATTTGATATGAAATTTGAAGAGTTTAAAAGATCAACAATTTTAGCTCCTGTATCTCAGTTATCAGACTTGTTTCTGGTTGCTGGAGATATTCACGCAACATTATATACTGGCTCAAAAGCGATGCATAGTCAAATTCTTAGCATATTTAATGAAGAAGCAGGCAAGTTCAAACAGTTTTCTGTAGCACAAAATATGAAAATCACTCTACAGAGAAGATATAAAAATGCACTTGTCGATAGCTCTCGTCAGAAACAACTAGAGATATTTCTTGGCTTGCGGCTTTTCAAACATTTTCCATCAACTGTGATTCAACCCTTACATGTATGTTGTTATTTAATTAACTCGACCATTTAATTTGCTCTACCCTTATTTGTCGTGGATGGCTGTTCTTATGTTCTACTACCTCCGTTCCAAAATTAACTTCCCATTTCGGATTACGATGCTTGACCGACGATAAAGCAACTCGATCCCTGTTCATACTCAGATTACTTTTAGTAAATAAAATTTACATATTGAGAAACTACATTAAAACCGCTACAAAGGCTGATAAAAAAATATAAATTTGATATAAATTTGATATATAAAACATAAGATTAAGAGTAATTTAAGTTGACCATGTGAATAGTGACTGTGAAGTTCATTTTGGGACGGAGGGAGTAATATCTAAGATCATTCAATTACCAATGCTGGTCCATAGTAGGAAGTATAAGGGTCCCATGTACGCACATATTGGGTTGTTTTTCCTCAGTTTTCCTTGGCCCCTATTCTCAAAAGTCCTATTTTCACCTTGACTGCATACAAAGATTGATTATAGAGTTGGTGTCTACTGACTACTGTTGCTATATGGGGAAATGTGCAAATATGCCTCTAATGTTTGCCTTTAGGTGTATATTGACCCTTAATGATTAAAGTAAACAAAATGCTCCTAAGATGACTCTGTTGAAACCCTAACTCTAGGTTTACCGGGCTTAGCCCACTTTGTGTAGTTAGCTATTGGTGTAACTATAAATATAGATCTTGTAAACTCCTTTGATGAATCACTACGAATGATAGTCTTATATTTTACATAGTATCAGAGCCATATATTTTGATTTTTACTATAGCTTTCAGTTTTATATTCGTAGTTTCAGTTTCCCGTGGCTGGAGTCTGCTTTCTCATGATGATTCATCGTCTGAGCAAGTGAGCGCTTTCCGGTAGTACTATGTCAAAACCAAGACTACTGCCTACCTCGGAATGTCAACGCTACCTACCATGTGAAATCCCACTGCAAAAACCCACCCATGCGCTGTCACAGTGTACAAAAACAAGCACTGCTCCTCTCCAAATCTACAATGCTCCGGTGCTCCGTTTTTGTAACCGCCTACGTATGTAGAAAGTTTGTCCTCCAGTGACCCTCTCCAAAAAAATTGGCGTTGTTTCACCATTGGCTGAAATCCCGCGCGCCGCCAGACCTTTATGCAAAAAGTTCTAGATTCTAAGTTCTGTTTTTGACTACTATGCCTACTATCATTGATAAATCAGTAATATTGCACCATATCTGGTTGTGCTTTCACCTATGGAGTTTGAGGCATACCAAAAACTGGAGGTATGGAATATTATCCAAGTGTCTGCCGAACCCTTCCAGTATGTGGTTCCTTGATTCAACTGCTTCTGATCATCCTTCCAGTATGTGGTTCCTTGGACATCAAACCAAGCAAAGGGAATAGCCGAATAGGTCAAGCTCTTCCACAGTTATCCTAACCTTAAAAGATGAGTTGTATGTGAAAAACAGTCCATTTAATCTTGTTGGACAGAATAATCTATTTTAGGTTATTGGACAGAATCATCTATTTTAGGCGCATAGTAATTGTAATTAATTGTAGAATAATCTCTTGTCTTGATTAGAATTGTATATAAGGTAGATTATCTTTTTGATATTGTAGATCCTTTTATTCTAGGGAATCAATTAATTCCCAGGATTTCCAGGATTCACTCTGTACCTATTTAAGTTCGGTAAATGAGAAGAAAATCTATTCCGCCTATTTTCTTCTTTTAAATCTTGTACTACCTCCGTCCCAAATTGATTGTCCTGTTTTAAAATGGCAAATATTAATAAAGTGGTTGGAAATTAAAAGCTCTTGGTTGAGATTTTAGTAAAATAAAGTGAAATGATAAGGACCGCACACTTCTTGCCAAAAAAGGAAACAGGACATTATTTTGGGACAACCCAAAAAGGAAAGTAGGACAACCAAAATGGGACAAGGGAGTATCTATTAGCAAAATCACTAACCCTCTCTATTGCACTAATCTTTTTATCTTTTACAAATAAACAAAAATATCAACCACACATCCCTTTTCTTAGAATGAAGGTGAAGTTTAATTATGCCACCCAGAAAAAGTGAAATTTATTAAGGGACGGAGGGAGTATCAAATAAATCATCTTATGTGTGTTATGTCACTGGCCAGCTAGCGGCGTACATTGCAGACTATATGTTAGTCAGATTATAACTCTTATTATTTAGTTAGATGGTTTCCTAAGAGTTTCAGTTGGATCATAATTTAACAGTTTACTAATGAGCACACATTATACTAGGACAGTCTTACTTGTAGTTTAGTTATCCTATTAGCTTTGGGATTCAATGATACTCTTAGAACTAGTAATCCCACCTGTTTTCAGATTCCGTTTGTATTGAATGTACTCTCACTTTATACGAGGAAGGTCTTACTCAAATTCAAACCCAAACCAAAGTACCAAACCAAACTCGAGGTGTTCGGAATTTCAGCAAAAACTACATTTCATTCTTTGCCATAACACATGACGTTTTCTTAAAAGTAACCCATAATGCTGTGATCTTTCATTTGAATCCAATGGTGCTTTCAAGATTTATGCATTGCAAAATTCATAAAATGTAATTATTTACATTCTTATAGTTTTACACTTTTACCTATAAATACCAAATGAACTACTACCTCTGTCCCATTGGATATTGAAAGCTTAGAGTTAAGTGTTAAATAAAAAGGTAACATTTCTGTGGTTGAGGTTTGTGCAGAAAAGAAAAAAATAAGCAGATTCACAAATTAATTACTCCCTCCGTCCCGCTAACAATGGGACAAGAGGGAGTGGCACACAAATCAATAAAAAATGGTTTATGTGGTTGATATTGAATTAATAAAGTAAGAATAAAGTAAGAATGGTATAGAGCTACACAAACTTTGCCAAATTTGGTACGGGACAATCTTAGTGGGACGGACCGATAAGGTAAAACGGGACAATCATAGTGGGACGGAGGCAGTACTTTAAAGGGATAGTGGCAAAGTCCAATGGGACGGAGGGAGTATCTTTTTGTGATATTCACATTTTTGTTTTAGACTGTAAGGGCCAATGTGCACCCGGGGGTGGGGAGCATTGTTAAAGGCCGGTTTGCAGCAGGGACAAACTCTAGGGCATATTTGCAACCAAAAAGTCTTTAAGGATCAATCTGCACCGTAAGGCAAACAATAGGGGCATATTTGCACCTTATCCTGTTGTAATAGCTTCTGTTCTTGAAAAGATAGTGACATTTTGTGAGGTGTCCTCTTGGTACTATAGTACATTCTAATGTCAGATGATCTTATTGGTTACCATCTCTCTGTCAGGTTCCATCTCGACCTTTTGGATGCTTTCTGAAGCCAATTGCTAACCTTATTCCAAATGTTGATGGTGGCAACAATATTCTCAACTTCAAGGCAAAAGGCCTCACATGGGTATGCAAAAGTGTTTCCTGTTTTCACACCTAGAATGTATTTGTAACCTTGTTTCATTTTTTCATTTTTCAGTTTAATTTATTTTTGGGGGTATAAGAACCATTCTTTGATAAATACATACCAAACTATAGGTATGCAAAGAGGCTGCAGATGTGGTTGAGCTCTTCGTTTTTCTCAGTGAGCCTTGTCATGTTTGTCAGCTTCTTCTTACCATTGTGCATGGACCTGATGATTCAACCTATCCAGCGAATGTTGATGTGAGGACAGGGCGTTATCTAGATGGACTTAAGCTTGTCCTTGAGGTTTGGTCTATTACTGTTTACATTTGATTTTTTGATACTCTCTCTTGTATAATTACAATTTGATTTTAGCTCTGCTTACGACGTTCCTAGACTACACAAATAGACAGACAGCATTGGATCTATGCCAATTTTGATGCTCTCTTGACCCATAAAAAGTGTCCTGTTTCAACTTTCAATGGCTTTTTGTTTGTTTCAAATAACGAGTCATGATTTAAACATTTATTTTGTCCCAAAAAAGTCATGTTCGGTCAAGCAGAACTGATTTTTTGTGTAATTTGCCTAGAGGACAAGTTACATATGATGTATTTAGCTACGCCAACTAATTAATGTAAAAATAAGTAGGATTCATGATTTATGGTAGCTCTACATTACAGAACATTAAAAAGTTGTTTCTTGGTCAAACAAGACTCTTATTTTGGGACAAGGCTAGCATCATTCAAAAGGATCCTACCTCTTGTCTTTGCAATTATATTGTCATTCTTACGTGATCAATATTCATCTAATTCAGAAGTCGCAGGCAGGGTTGCCCTTAGTGCTCGCTAGAATATTATACAGTATTCAATGTGAACCCTGTTGTAATAGAGTATTCGATGGGTTAAGAAATGCTTCTAGATGAAGTTTGTGAACCCTGTTGTTATGGCCTTTAAAAAAATTCTCCATGTTCAAGTTGTGAAGAAAGATTATTCACTATCCTGTTGTGTTTTTATGAATAAGTTTGTTCCAGACTAAGAAGCATGGATACAGCCACATGGATACATACAGGGACATGGAAAATTTGAAGAGATCGGGAAAAGGAAAAATGCATGGGAAACGGTATTATAAAACAAAATAATAATAAATAAAATTAGATATTATAATGACGTCCATAATTTAAACTTTCTGTAAGCTTAATAATCTGCATTTTTTGTTGAAAATTATACAACAACAACAACATCCAAGCATTATTCTCAAAAGATTTTGGGGTCAGCTAACATGAATCGATCCATAATATCAGAGCAAAAAAGAGAAGAAATGCAGCTGGTCCAAGGCTGTTGACCTCGTATGTGGTCAAACCATGCCACACGCATACCCGACACATGTCCGTTGCATCACTCGCATGTCCTATGTGTTTCCACTCTCCAGTATTTGTACATTCAGACACCTTGGACTTGGAGTGCCTGTGTTTTACCTTGGTTTCAAAAATGGATGCATGTGCTTGGTAGTTTATTGGTTTAACTTTGATAGTACATGAAATTATCATTGAGATATTAATGTGTGACTGTTGAAATAAATTATTTTCTTCTCTAAAAGTGTTCTATGCAAGTTGTTAATAAGATTCTAAACCCAAATGGATTTTGTCTACAGGGAGCCTCTATACCTAGGTGTGCAAATGGAACAAATATTTTAATACCCATATCAGGGTCAATAAGCACCGATGATATGGCTATCACAGGAGCAGGTTCCCGCCTACATGCTCAAAGTAGTTCCAACGTACCATTATTATATGACTTTGAAGAATTGGAGGGAGAACTGGATTTTCTTAGCCGTGTTGTTGCAATTACATTTTATCCAACAATGGATGGAAAAGGTCCAATTACCCTTGGTGAGGTACATGAAAATAAAAGGCTAATATATTTTTTGTTGATATCTTGCTTTAGTCTAAATAAAATCCATTTATATGTTCAGTTAAAACTTAATTGAAATGGTTGGAGATGACAATTTTTGGGTTTCATTTGGATTTAAGTAGCACTGAGACAAGAAACATGAACCGGCAAATGCGAAACACAGTAAAAATATCTTTTTAAAAATACCGGATGTAAAATGCGGGGAAACACGTAAATATAAAAGTGTAGGGATGTGTGTGTATACATGTTTTCATATATATATATATATATATATACTAGACTAAATACCCGTGCGATGCACGGGTATCTAGAATAGAATAACAACTTCTTTAACATTATGTTATATTACGATGATACGTGATATGTAATTTTTTGAAATAAAAAAAGACAATAGAGTTTATATGTTGTAAATTTGATTATATAATTGTAGTTTGCAAGAAAAGGAAAATTTGAATCGGATGGAAAGTTTCCAAGTAAAATTAAAGAGAAAAATGATAGGGTGTAACAATAAGCTCTATGAGATAATGATATAACATGATGTTACAACTATTAGTGAGTCCCATGAAACTTTATAAAACACATTAAACATATATATGTTGACAATGTACAAAAAGTATCATAAATTTTAAAAAACTTATTTATAAACCATATTATTAGTGATGTTGATAGCACAACTCTTGTCATCACATAAAAGAATTTTCAACCCACTTCTTGAGGTGACACTTGATGTGGCAACGTAAAATTGATCACGCGTAAAAACATATTTTGGATAGTATATGCTCACTTGTTATAGAGATTGTCTTTACTAGTACTTTTTCAAATATAATCTTCATCTCCAAAATAAAATTACACAACCAAGTAATAATCATGCGAGTCTCATTACATATGTCATATGACTGGCAATTTATAATCAAATAATGTTTCTCATTAGCATAATAGGAACACCAGTTTTTAGTCTCAATTTATGGTTCAATACTTCAATACCCTAGTGCATTGATGGTATTCAAACACTCTTGCATGTGCACTTCATCGAATTCAGTACTAATGTTGCCTTCAAGTGAACATGGGTTGTCAAAACTCAAAAATGTCTTAATAAACATATGAAAAATTGATAAACATATGACAGACCAGTCATATTTTAATAAACAATAGAGACACCAGAAGAGGTAATTAAATCTTGATATCCTTATAAAATTAATTAACTACGAAATTATAGCAATTAACTAAAATGGTACCGATAAATCTATCAGTTTAATATATTTCTACGATTAAAACAACTGAGCATTCTCCATATATGTTCACTATTTTGGTATTGTTTAATCGCAAACTCTCCTCATAATGAGCACTTTATCTTATTGCATATGGAATAAAAAGTTCCCATGCTTAAAATTCTTAACAATTATATTTTAGTCATTATTATTCAATCTTGATTAATATATTATTAATTTAGTAATATTCAGGTCAAACCCCCTATTTTTATCTTCATAATTTAGTTATATTAATATATTATTAATTTACTAATTTCTGTAATTATAATTTTTTGACTTTAGAAAATTTCTTGGGACATTTTAATGCTATATATGACAATATATACGTACCTAACATATGCTAATACACACATAGTTACATACTAATAACTAAATCATACATTTCCTTTGTTTCAATGGCAGACTATTTGAATATTTACTTTCCTTTTATTTTCAAATGAACTGGGTGGGAAAATTGGAGTCAAAAGTTATGTCAACACCGTTACTTTCCTTTTAAAGATATACTCCCTTCGTCCCATAAAATAGTTCCCGCATTGACTTGGATCGGAGTTTAAGAAAGTGGGAATAAAGTTGATATGTATGGTTGCGGTTGTGCAAGAAAAAGGTAAATGAATTTGAGCCACACAAAACTTTCCAAAAGAGGAAATGAGAACTATTTTTTGGGACGGCCCAAAAAGGAAACCAGGAACTATTTTGTGGGACGGAGGGAGTATAAAGATACTCCGTAATATATAGCCAAATAAAGAGAGGGAATTTTGTGGTACTATATGTAAGTAAGAACCGTTAATTATTATAGAGTATTATTCTACCATGTTTAATGCATTTATTAGTCAAAATTAGGTGGATCAAATAATACTTTCTTTCAATCGGTCCAAAAAATGCTCCATTAATGTACAAATTTTTCAAGAAACTCATACGGGAGTATATATTTCAAGACACACAAAATTACATTTATATCCTCCATTTGGAGCAATTTTGCCTCCAAAACATGTAACAACTTTGCTACTACTTAAATCCCCTCCGTCGCATTCAAATGTTCTCTTTTTTTGGGAACATCTCATTTAAAGATTCTCATTATTATTTTAGGAAACAATTAGTACTCGTAAATGAAAATTTAATCATCAAGTATTAAAAGTAATGAATCGGTAACATCATAGTTATCATCAATGACCTCATTATCTTATTTCGCAAAGGGTACTCAAATTACCATATTTAATTATTGTCTAAATAACAGTGTCATTGTGCAATTGAAGCCTTCAAACGGGACAAAGGTAGTATAAAGATATAAATATAAAAATATTTTATATGGGTTTTATTTGAGCTTATTAACTAACACGTATGTCATAATTACTAAAATTACCTTGTAATAGTTAATACTCCCTCCGGTCCTTAATGAAGTTTACACTTTGACTTCACACATATTACGGAAATAAATTTGACTTTACTGTAGAGTACACTGTTTGACACTGTTTGGCACTGTTTTGCACTGTTTGATGTAGATTTGTTTGCCAAATAATGCAAATAAGGAAGTGTAAAGTTTAATACGGGACAACCAAAAAAGGAAAGTGTAAAGTTAATTAAGGACCGGAGGGAGTACGTGAGAAAGCATTGGTGAAAAATTCACTCCACATGGTAATAAATTTATTTACGTCATAATCAATTGATATGGAGTACTTTAATAATTTGGAGTTATATTTCTCTTATTCAATGTAAAAAAGGAGAGAACTTAATTGGGTTATTAATTGGGTGAGATTGATTTCACACAACAATTCACAATTGTGTTTTCATTGGGTGGGAATTTTCCCTCCAATAGTAGTAGCAACACTGCTACTTTATATTATATAAAGATATATACATATGTATACACAATTTCTTCATATATATATGTATTTAATCGTTAACTTTGCTAAACAATTGAAGACATGATTAGTTTAAATCTTTAAATGTATAATTTATTCACAAATTAATATATAATCAAATATAAAATGTAATAGATTTCCTGCAACACACTGTGCTATGAAAATATAAAAAAGATTATGTTGCTATAAGAAGATGTCATTAAAGATTCCACCAAGAAATCCCTATAACACGACTTTTATTCCATCAAGATATCTCATCAAAAAAGAAAAAATCCAAAAACCTGACTTTTCTGAAATGTATTTTATTAGGTAAATTGGCATCTCAAATATTTCTAATTACAGAAACAACACAGAAGTGAGAATTTGATTTTTTTTTTAAATTTCCATATGTTTTGAGTTTCTGAAACAGCAAAATATGAGATTTCAGAGTTTCCTAGCTTCTTTAGTATAGATTAGCATCAGATGCTTTTAATACTACAAAGTTAGTTTTTTAGCTTTTAAATTTGAATTCGTCTTCTTCAACAGTTAACTGGACGGTAGTTCTGCAAAGAGGTAGTTTAGAAAATAGAAATTACTCAAAATTAACAGCGCAAACAGCACGATGAAAAGCAAGCACTCAATACTCAGTGTTTAGTCCTTGGTACAGCCCATTACATGCCTTTGTAGAAACATTGAATCAGTGTTAGAAAAAATGAGTCACAACAATACTAATATAATCAATATACACATTTTTTGTCATTTTCACGTAATAGGTTTTGCTTAATGACAAGGCAGTGTATTTGCATGCATTAGGCCTCCAATCCCTCATGTTTACCATGGTTTAATGCCTTTCTTAATGCTACTATTTGTATGAGAGCAACATAATGATATCATTGTTCTAGCACCGGAAATACTGTTTTGGCCGTTGATACTCTATTTTGGCCACCCATGAGCCTGTACTAGGGTGAAATGCTGTGCCTGACTGCTTCCCTTGCACTAAACAATAGTTTTCTCTCCCTATGTTTTGGCATAGATCTCCTTGACTCTTACCAACGGGGAAGGTGCCTTTCCTGGTTTCCGGCTTAGATATCATTTCCTGGTGTTCCAATTGCCACATTACCAGGATACATCACAGTTGGATTCCTCTCTTCCAAGACTAACCACTTGAATTTTAGTGTAGATCATGCCACTATTGAACTCACACTTGGTTTCACCTTTAATGTTTTTTCTCACTGAAAGTTTCTAGACCCCCTATGGGTCATTCAGAAACAGTCTCTCCCTGCTTTAGTACAGGGGTAAGACTGCGTACATCCGACCCCCCCTTACCCCACCGTAGGTGGGAGCCTTTGTGGCACTGGGGTAATGATGATGATGATGATGATGAAAGTTTCTAGACCCCCTTGCTATTTTGAAACTTGGATGTTTACTGACAACACTCTATCTTCTTTCAATATCCATTTTGTAATGTAGTATATGCATGTATGTTAATATATTAACAGGAATTTTATCAATCCATGTCCTTAAAGATAAGTTCACTATCAACAATGGACCTGAAAGATAAAGTGTGTCGATATAAGGCCTAAAATATCGTAGATTTTGATCTATTTAATTTTTTATTAATTCCGTTGCTATTTTTTGATGATTTATTCTTCACAAAAGTTTATTACTTTTATGAGATTAAATAATATTTAATTTTTTAAGATAAACATATTAAAATTCACAGAATTTTAGGTCTTAGACTCTTGGGTTGATAGTTTTCAACCATTCGGGTCCTATATCGACGCACTTTATCTTTGCCCCTTAGTTGTAATGAACCTATCTTTCAGGTCCCGGATTGATAAAGTTTTATGTTAATATTACAGTGCATTAATATGATGAGGGAAAAGTGCAAATATACATCCGAAGTGTATGTGGAGGTGAAAATATACCGGTGAACTTCTAAAAGGTGCAAAACTACCCCTAATGTTCCTATAAAGGAGCAAATTTACCCTTATTGACTTTAAATAAAAAAAATTACAAAATATTTAAATTTAAATTTGAAATTGAAAAATACAAAATTTAAAGAGTTAAAAATAAAGATTTATTTTTTATGTTAAAATATTAACTCTTTAATTTCAAATTGCAAAATTATTATTTTTCCCTTGTAAATGGAGCACCTTAAATTCATAAATATTAATTTTAGTCTTGATGCGAAATTTTGAACAAATTGTTACATTTTATGAAATAATAATATTTGGTTTTGTTTACACTTAATAAAATTAAATTCACTATATTGTAATCTTGGACTATTTATCATCATACAGAATATGTAATTTTATAGTGCAAAGAATACATACATTCCAACACATATGTTAGCACTTTTCTGAAAGAATTATAAATATACAGTAAATTTTTGAAACAGTTTTTTATACTAACAATATCAAATTGTGATAGAAAAATAATAAAAGGGGGCAATCGAACACAATTTTTTTTTTCAATTTCGAATTTAAATCTATAATTTATTTTTCGTGTTTTTTTTTTTAAATTTATTTTATTTATTTAAAGTCAATAAGAGTAAATTTGCTCCTTTATAGGAATATGAGGGGTATTTTTGCACATTTTAGAAGTTCATGGGTATATGTGCACCTCTGCATATATTTCAGGGGTATATTTGCACCTTTCCCCTTAATATACTCGATATACTTTTACTTTATCTGGTTGTCACATATTAGCTTTCGTCTAACTGGTGGCCTACAGCTATTTGCCCCGCAAATAATCAAACCTTCATCCCATCAATTTTTACATAAGGAGAAGAGTTTAATTATTTTGTCCCAATTAATCTGTCGCACACTTGTACTCTGCTTTAGAAAATACTCTCTAATTCTCATCCATTAAAACATGTCTTCCTTAGTGTGCTCTTTGAAGTTACTTCGACTTTTAATGACTGGAAAGTTTCAGACACTTCAATTGCTCTTGTGTAATAGGTCTTTAAATCTTACTTTTAATTGATATACAATAAACTATACTCATGGGATTTCTTCAGTGAAAAACCTTATACTTTCAAAAGATGGTGCCTCATAATTGGCTAAGCGTAAAACTCTATATCTCCCCTTCTCGCAGAAGTAGTGCAGAACTGTATATGCACACACTTTGAGAGTTAGAGGTCCTTTCCTTGATTATGAATATGGGGAATGTGATATTGGTCTATCATTGAGGTTAGTCTGCACTAACTGATTTATAATTTGGAAAAAACTTTGCAGATTGAGATACTTGGGGTGCCTCTTCCATGGAGGTTTATTTTTAATGGTGAAGGACCTTGTTTAAAGCTCAATGAGGACATCAATCCTCACCCCCAGGAGATTAACCCATTTATGTCTGGACATGAGACCAATCCTTTTGCTGCTAATTTGTCCAATGATAAAGTTTCACCAACTACATTTGCAGATTCATCTGCCAACTTGTGGGATGACCTTTTGACAGGAGAGAGCAGAATTGCAGATTCTCTCACTGAGACAGCAGGTGGAGCTGTTACACAAGAAGGGGGAGATTTGCTTGACTTCTTGGATGATTCTTTATTCCGACCACAGGATGGGGGGAATGGTGACACCAATGCCATTTCTTTAGGGGGAGCTTCAGGTGATTGCACTAGCAAGTATATAGATTGTTTGAAACAGCTTGCCGGTCCCAATTTGGTATGTCGCTATTTGTTTCTTGATCAGCTTATGCCAATGGATATATGTGTATCATAATTTGGTTTCTTTTTATGTGACATCTTTGATTGTTTGATGGAGATTCTCTAATTGGAAAAAGATGCTAGTGTTCCCTTATTACTTACTTCTGAATCTGATACATGCATATATATATATATATATATATATATATATATATATATGTATGTAGAAAAATGTAACATATTCTTGTTATTTTAATTACTTGTACATCCGGAACTGTGTAGATAAGAATTAGAGTAGATAGGACTCTCTAATTAGTAGATAAGCTCACAGAATAGATAGAATAGATAGATCCTATTTTTTAGGATCTGTAACAACTTGATTTTATCTGTAACATGTATATATACCATTGCCGGATGGCTCAATAATATCCAAGGAAGTTTTATTCCTAAAACCTACATGGTATCAGAGCTTCGGTTTAAACAATGGTAGAAACCAGTGAGGCTGATTCCTCACACACTATCAACCCTAACTCCCAAATTAGCTCTATGACAAATTACCAGTCTCCTATTCATTCATCTATGATAATCACTAGTCATAGATTGAATGGAACAAACTATCTGGAGTGGTCTCAATCTGTCAGACTTGCAATTGATGGGAGGGGAAAGCTGGGTTACATCACAGGAGAAATCCAACCAAAACTACCTGCAGAAGAAGGGTACAGTACATGGAGGTCAGAGAATTCACTCATAACAGCTTGGCTTCTCAACTCCATGGAGCCCTTAATTGCCAAACCTCATATGTTTATGAAAACTGCAAAGGAGGTATGTGATTCTATTAAGGAAACTTATTCAGATCTTGAGAACTCTTCTCAAATTTTTGAACTCAAAACCAAACTGTGGCAATCTAAACAAGGAAATAGGGATATTATTTCATACTACAATGAAATGGTATCTCTGTGGCAAGAATTAGATCAATGCTATGGTGATGAAGAGTGGGAGAGTGCTAAGGATCTGGCCAGACATAAGAAAAGAGAAGAGAATGATAGGGTCTATATGTTTCTAGCAGGGATCAATAGGGACCTAGATGAAATTAAGGGGAGGATACTTGGAAAAAAACCTCTACCCTCTATCAGGGAGGTATTTTCTGAAATCAGGATGGAGGATAGCAGGAAGAAGGTTATGTACAGCACTCCAGTACATAATGAGGAATCTGGGGACTCTTCAGCAATGGTGGCTAGGAGTGATGACAAGAAAAAACCCTGGTGTGATCATTGCAAGAAATTATGGCACACTAGGGAGACTTGTTGGAAAATTCATTGCAAACCACCAGGGGCAGGAAAGAAAAAAACTGAGAAAGCCCTACAAACAACTGTGACTGAGACTCAACAAGAACCACAAGTCAAGTTCAATCAACTTTCATTCACTCAGGAGCAGATAGGGCAACTTCTTAACTTCCTTAATTCCCAGAAAACCCAAAATTCCCAGAAAGAATCCAAACCAGAATCTTCCTCTTACTCTTATGCCCAAAATGGTACCTATTCATCATTTTTTTGTTCTGGGAAATCTAAAAATACCTGGATTATTGACTCAGGGGCTACTGATCACATGACTTCTATTTCAAATCTTTTTTCTTCATATAAACCTAGTGCAGGAGATAAAAAGGTTAAAGTTGCAGATGGTTCTCTATCAACCATTGCAGGGATGGGAAATATTAGTATTTCTTCATCACTGAATCTATCCAAAGTCCTTCATGTCCCTAATCTATCCTGCAATCTTACTTCAGTTAGTAAAATAACTAAAGATCTACAATGTTGTGTCATTTTTTATCCCTCTCATTGCATTTTTCAGGACCTAGCATCGGGGAAGATGATTGGCAGTGCTCAGGAGGAGGATGGACTCTATATCTTTGATGGAGAAACTCAATCTAATAAAAAAGGTCTAAGAAATGCTTGTTTGCAAACTGTTTCTTTTTCAAATAATAAAGAGTTGTATTTACTTCATTATAGACTAGGACATCCTAGTTTCTATTATTTAAAAAAGATGTTTCCTCAATTATTTCTAAATAAAGATGTTGCGTTGTTTAATTGTGATATGTGTGCTCTTGCAAAACATCACAGAAACACTTATTTACCCCACAGTTATAAACCTACTAGCCCTTTTACCTTGGTACATAGTGATATTTGGGGTCCATCTAGAATACCAACTTTAAAGGGAAAGAGATGGTTTGTAACTATTATTGATGATCATACTCGTGTCACATGGGTATTTTTAATCAAAGAAAAATCTGAAGTTGAGAAAATATTTAGAACATTTTATGCTATGGTCCAAACTCAATTCAATACCAAAATTAAAATGGTAAGAAGTGATAATGGCCGTGAATATTTTTCTCAAACTTTAAACAACTTTTTTACTGAAAAAGGCATTATTCATCAAAGCTCTTGTGTCAATACACCAGCTCAAAATGGACTTGCAGAAAGGAAAAATAGACATTTGCTTGAAGTCACTCGTGCAATCATGTTTTCAACAAACATACCAAAATATTTGTGGGGAGAAACAGTGTTACATGCAACTTATTTAATTAATCGCATGCCATCCAAAATTTTAGGATTTAAAAGTCCTATTAGTTTACTACAACACTTCTTTCCTACAAATAGATTGGTAAACACCCTTCCTTTAAAAATTTTTGGTTGCACAATGTTTATCAAAAATCCAGATAGATCTGCAAGTAAGTTTGATCCTAGAGGGAAAAAATGTGTTTTTCTAGGTGTTTCTGCCACTCAAAAAGGGTATAAATGTTTTGATCCTACAACCAAAACAATGGTTGTTACTATGGATATTATTTTTATGGAAGAACAACCTTTTTTTGATTCTCATCTTCAGGGGGAGAAATTAAGTGAAGATGTTCCTATAATGCCAAATATTCATGAAAATTTTAATTTTCTTGATATTAATCAGGATGATAATTTCTTTACAAATATCAGTACACCTGAAAATGATCAAGGAATTAAAAATAATGAAGTAAATCCAACTGAACCAATTGAAAAGGATCAACAGACAAGTCAGTTCTTTGAAAAAACTTATGAGAGAAGGGTTAGAAATCAAAGAATAGAGGAAGTCCAAAAACCTACAACTGTCCATGATTCTGCCTCAATGTCAGGAAGTGAAAAAGGTAATACTTCTAGCAACTTTGACCTTCCTATTGCTCTCAGAAAAGAGAGAAGAACATGTGTTAAATACCCCATCTCAAACTATGTTTCTTATTCTAAATTGACATCAGACTTTGCAGCCTTTACCTCCAATATCTCTTCTATTTCTATTCCTACAACCATACAGGATGCCCTATCTAAACCTGAGTGGAAGAGAGCTGTTTTGGAGGAGATGGAGGCTCTTGAAAAGAATCAGACATGGAAGCTTGTAGAGTTACCTAAAAATAAACCTACAGTTGGTTGCAGGTGGATTTTCAACCCCAAGTTTAAGGCAGATGGAAGTTTGGAGAGATATAAGGCAAGACTAGTTGCCAAGGGGTACACACAGACCTATGGAATTGATTACAAAGAAACCTTTGCACCAGTTGCAAAGTTGAACACTGTAAGAATTCTTTTATCTCTTGCTGCCAATTGAGACTGGCCATTACAACAACTGGATGTAAAGAATGCTTTTTTAAATGGGAAACTTGAAGAAGAAGTGTACATGGAACCTCCTCCTGGGTTTGAAAATAAGTTTGGGTTAAAGGTTTGCAGATTAGAGAAGGCTTTATATGGACTTAAACGGTCTCCAAGAGCCTGGTTTTACAGATTCACAAAGTTCATAAAGAAGCAAGGATTTAATCAAGCTCAAGCTGACCATACTTTATTCATGAAGTTTTCAGGTAAGGGGGAGATTGCAATCTTAATTGTCTATGTAGATGATATTATCCTCACAGGAAATTATCACACAGAGACTAAAAGATTGAAAGACAATCTTGCTCATGAATTTGAGATTAAAGACCTAGGAAATTTAAAATTTTTCCTAGGAATGGAGATAGCTAGATCAAAGAAGGGTATTGTTGTCTCACAAAGGAAATATGTTTTAGATCTTCTACAGGAAACTGGAATGAGTGCCTGCAAACCAGCAGACACTCCAATTGACCCAAGTCAGAAATTGGGAGATATCAAGGAGGGAAATCCAGTTGATATTCACCAATATCAAAGATTGGTAGGAAAATTAATATATCTGGCACACACTAGACCAGATATTGCATTTGCAGTAAGCATGGTAAGTCAGTTTATGCATCATCCTTTCCAAGAACATCTTGATGCTACTTACAGGATTCTAAGATACCTGAAGAGCTGTCCAGGGAAAGGATTGTTTTTCAAAAAGGGAAACAATAGGAAAATTGAAGCTTTTACTGATGCAGATTATGCTGGCTCAATATCTGATAGGAGATCTACCTCTGGATACTGCACCTATGTATGGGGAAATCTAGTAACCTGGAGAAGTAAGAAACAAAATGTGGTTGCTAGAAGTAGTGCAGAATCAGAATTCAGAGCTATGGCTAATGGAATATGTGAGTTACTCTGGATCAAACGAGTAATCACAGAACTAAAGATGGAGATTGAGCTGCCTATGAAGTTATATTGTGATAATAAAGCTGCTATAAGCATTGCTCATAACCCTGTGCTACATGATAGAACTAAGCATATTGAAGTGGACAGACATTTCATTAAAGAGAAGATTGAAGCTGGAATCATTTGCACACCATTTGTATCCACTAAAGATCAAACAGCTGATATCTTCACCAAAGGGTTATTTAGACCTATATTTGAGCTACTTATAAGCAAGTTGGGAATGTATGATATATACTTACCAACTTTGAGGGGGAGTGTAGAAAAATGTAACATATTCTTGTTATTTTAATTACTTGTACATCCGGAACTGTGTAGATAAGAATTAGAGTAGATAGGACTCTCTAATTAGTAGATAAGCTCACAGAATAGATAGAATAGATAGATCCTATTTTTTAGGATCTGTAACAACTTGATTTTATCTGTAACATGTATATATACCATTGCCGGATGGCTCAATAATATCCAAGGAAGTTTTATTCCTAAAACCTACAATATATATAGGGGATGGTTCAAATAAAAAGTGGTCTTAATGTGCAAAGTTTGCACTTTTTCATGTTTCGCTTGCACTTTTTCATGTTTCGCTTGCACTTTTTCTTGCTTTCGTTGCACTTTTTCGCAGTAGCTCAAAAAAATTGGTTTATTTACAAAACTGCCACCGTCATTTTGGCCGAATTTGACCAAAATCAAAATGGTCAAATAGTGCAACGCAAACAAGAAAAAGTGCAAGCGAAACATGAAAAAGTGAAAACTTTGCACTTTGCACGGGAAGACCACTTTTCATTTGAACTCTTCCCTATATATATATATATATATATATATATATATATATATATATCGTAAACGAGATCTGGCATTCTGCTTTCAATGTAACATCAGCTTTATCATACATAATGCCTATTTATATATCTACGGAGTGCCAAAATAATGGCTTTGCTGTTATCTAGTTATTTTCAGTTCCAAAATGTACCTTAACTGATACATTTCATGCTGCATAACTGCATTCTTTACTTTGATGTATAAATAGAGGGTGGTACCTTTTTACTCTATATACTGCGCTATCATGTGAGTGGACTGCACCATCTCCCCCCACATTTGACTGTAAGAAGGGAACATAGAAGTCATACCGTAATACATTTGCTGGTAAGCCAGTATATCCAGTAATACAGGTGGTAGAAGTCATACCATGATTGTGATGTAAAGCAGAAGCTGGGGCAGAAGCCCCCATTCCGTTGATTTTTATTTTTCTGTTTTCATCAGATTGTGTCTCCGAAGAAGAGCAAATTAAGAGCTTTTCTACCTTCTGTTTTGGAGTTGAAATAGAGTTATGACTTATGTCAAAGATCAATGGTAGTGCTATGATTTAGAATATTGATTCAATCCAAATGAGAAAATGAACTGGTCTGAACTCTGAAGCTGTGAGAAGTGAATGCCTATCTAAAGTGCCTAATGAAAAATAACTTTGAAATCCATTCAGAACTAAGTAATTTAACATAACTATATGAGAAGAATAGGAAGCAAGGCATACTCTCCAATAAATCTCTTTTACTGCATTCATGAATCTCCATCCTCCATTGCTGAATTGGAATAACTTCATCCATTGATTCATTTCAAGTTTTTATTCACATGAAACCATCTGTAGCTTTAGCAGTGTAATTTAATTGTATATTCATTTTCAGATTTATAGTGATATTAACCAGTACTCTTTATCCCCAGTATTCTTTCTCCTTACTTTTCCAACAAAGAAATTTAATCTATTAGTTGAAGGCTGAAGCATTCAACTCTAAAGTGCTTTCTCTTGTGCATTGTATGCTCATTGGTTTTTGTGGTAAAGTATCCGAAGGCCGGAGTTGAGGTCTATTTGGACTGTTTATTTTTGTTTATATTTTGGCAATAGCTATGTAGAGAGAGATCCAGCCTTTGAGGACTCATTCTTCCTTCAATTTTTCAGGAACGTAAAATAAGTTTTATGGAAGCTATGAAGCTTGAAATTGAACGCTTTCGAAAAAATCTTTCAGCTGCTGAAAGAGATAGAGCTTTATTATCAATTGGTGTTGATCCTGCCAGTATAAATCCAAATCTATTACTTAATGATTTTGAGATTGGAAGATTGTGTGGGGTAGTAAATGCTCTTGCACTTATTGGGCAGGCTTCCTTTGAAGATAAACTCACTGCATCTATTGGTCTTGATATTATGCATGAACCTGCTATAGATTTCTGGAATGTTACTGAAATCGGTGAAAGTTGTTTGGGAGGCAAATGTCAGGTTCGTGCTGAAGCAGGGCATGCAGCTCTTGCATCCTCTACAACATTATCTGCATCGACTTCACAGTCATTATTTTACATCTGCTCTGTATGTGGAAAAAATGTTTGTAAAGTTTGTTGTGCCGGGAAGGGAGCTCTAATGGTGGGATCGTACAACTCAAAGGAGGTTTCTAATTTAAATGGTTTAGGTAGCCAAATAGGATCTTCCAACCGTTTGACTAAAGTTGATGGAGTTGTTTGTAAGTTGTGCTGCCAGGATGTTGTCCTCAACGCATTGATGTTGGACTACATTAGGGTCTTGGTTAGTGAGCGGAAAAGAGCTCGTGTTGATGAAGCAGCACGCAAAGCTATAAGCTATGTGCTTGGATTTTCACATGCAAATTTTCTTGGCGGGAGGCACCCATCTAGTGATTCCAAAGTGCATGACAAGGTTTTGAGGCAGTTGACGAACGGAAAACAGTCTCTTGCAGAGTTTCCTTATGCCAGCTTTTTATCCCCAGTAAGTTGTGAGCCTTGTGTTGCTAAGATCAATATTAATTAAAAGCATGAATCCTTCACTTCATTCTGCATAATGTTGAAAAATATGGATGATGTTGAACAAGAAAAGAAGGCATGGCAAGTCCCCATAGTGATAGCATCTTGCACCTAATATTAGTTTGTCTTAGAAAATTAGAGCTACCATCTAATAAATGCTCATTACTCAGTGGTCATTGTTTGTGTCTGAATTTGTATCTTTGACTTCATTAGCACATCCAACTTTTGAAACTAGGAGGATCAAGTGTTCAGCGGGAGGCAATGCCACCCTCTAGTGATATGCAAGTTTCTTATGTAAGGTTCGAAAATGGAGTTTCATCGATCTAGGACCCGAAAAGGTCACCTGTCAATTTGGAAATCGAAAGAAAGAGTTACTAATCCAGAACCTGGAAGATTAGAGTCTATCAATGTAAGGACTTGATAGATTAGAATCTATCAAGTTAAGAACAGAAAAGATCCAGTCATTAATTCAAGACCTAAAAGGGAAGGCTATCATGGCTAGAAAAGTTAGCACCATTAGTGGAATTTCTAATGGAATTTGACTTGATGCTACTTTAGATTAACAAATATCAACTGAACATCAATGTACTAAACTTCATAAAATGATATCGCCCTCTGCTCCTTAATAAACTTCATCTTCATTTTTGGCACACATTTTAAGATGTGGAGTTTGTATGCTCGAGATTTATTTGGAAAAGAACGAGAGAATATCAACCACAATTTTTTCCCTTTAAAGAAAAGGTGAAGTTTTTGGGGACATCATAAAAAGAAAAAATGAAATCTATTAAGTAATGGATGCCGTATTTAATAGTTTGACAAATCAAAGTGTGAAAGAAGTGTAAGATTCTGTTTTTTGCAAAATCTGCAAGCAGTTCAATTGTTGGCCACTTTTTGTCCATTTCAGCTGATATTACTTTAATTTTTAAGTTTTTTTAGTTTATTATTATTTTAATAATAAATATTTTAAGTTGGTATTTTTATACTCCGTAACATACATGGTATTACATTTTTAAATCTCACGCAGCAACCAAGTCAGATTCCATTAGAGACCCTTTTAACATTGTTAACCTTTTGAGTTAAATTGATAGATTCTAATCATTAAGCATATGAATGACAACTTTTCTCCTTTCTGTAAGATCCTGAATGTATAGTTGACTTTTCTTTTTAGTCCTTGAGTTGTTAGGTTTTAATATGAATTGATAACCTTTTTATTCAGTCATGAATTGACAGTTGACTTAACTTTTGGGTCATGGGTTGATAAGACTCCATTATTTTAACAAGAGTATTTGAACCATATAATCTGGATGTGTGGAGCTAACTATTAGCCGAAAAGTCATAGCCCCCCTTGTTATGTTCGAACAAAGGCAAATGGATGAATGAATCAGTCCAATCAGGGCAAGGTCAAAGAATCACACACAGGTAAGTTCTTGAAGTAAATTTATTGTCAAAAAGTTTAGATACTTAGATATATACCCCAAAAAGTTTGGATGCATGCTATGTCTCGAAGCTGCCACATACAATTTTTGAGTTACCTTTTTTAACATTTGAGTTACCTTTTTTAACTCTCGAATCTGGCCCATCTCCATTCAGGCCCAATGCATGAATTTTCTAATACGGTTGATCTGCCCCAGATGGTTAGACGGGCTTACTCTATGGATTTATTTGGCTTAGCCTCTTTTCGTTTTCATTAGACTGTTTCATTTACTCTGGTTTTGTTTATTTTTTGCTGATGAGGTATTGGCCTAGTCCCCCTCATTTTTGTATCTCTCTTATTTAATAAAATTCTGGTATCTGACTCCCGGCATTTACCCCACTTATTTTGGTGGTTTGCCTTCCGGGATAAAAAAAAAGCTGCCACATACAATATGTTGGTTGCTTCCCCACCATTTCAACAACCAGTGTACCTCCCACTCCTCTGTCAAGCTTCAAGATGCATCCATCCTAGAAAAATTCAGCATTATGGGATTCTAAACAATCTCTTTCAAGTCCATCTGAGATAATAATAGAATTCATTAGGCTATTCAGTGTACCTTAAAGATCTCTAATAAATTGTCCAAACTTTGGGTGAAGCCTGCGCTTCACTGATAAAAGGGATTACCACCTTCATTCTTAAATTCTTGTACAAAACATTACTTTATTATTCTGGTACTCGTAAGTTTGTTTTCCACTTCAATTGAGGGTAGAAAAAAGGCATATTAGTACTCCAACCCCAAAGTCTCAACAGAAAAGATTGGATAAAAGAATCCCAATTCGGGATAAGTGGTTGTTTTGATGTGGTTGTTGGTTTGTTCTTTTTTCTTTTTGGAAGTTAAGGGGTGAGGCTGCAAGTTTCCATACTGACACGCACGTGATCAAATAGATTCTTATATATCCCCATGCACATAATTACTTAATTTGAAGAAGTTTAAACTTTAAACATCTTATTATATCTTATATGTCTACATTATTCAGGTCGAAACAGCAGCAGGTTTTGCACCATTCATGTCATTGCTCGCGCCTATCAATTCTGGGTCACATGATTCATATTGGAAAGCTTCCTCTAACACCTCTGCAATTGAATCTGCCATTGTTCTTAGTCAGTTATCTGATGTTTCTGCTGTTCTTCTTCTTGTGAGTCCTTGTGGATACTCCATGTCAGATGCTCCAATTGTAAGTACACTCCTGTTTTCGAGTTTCTTCGCTGTAATGATTGAAATGGTACAGCTCTTTTGGACCTTTGAGTTGTGTATCTTAAAATCAGACAGCAATTTCTACAAGTTTATTCTGTTTGTTAGGAATAGTGTATGAAAACTACATGTGTATTTCTTTGTAATACAGTACAACTAGGTTCTGTTAGGCTTCGGTTAAGTTAGCTGATAGTTAGTTGTGACTACAGCTTATATAAATACTCTGTAATAACTCTTCCTGAATAAGATGATTTCATTTCCATCTTCTATCTTGCCTCTATTCTACTATGGTATCAGAGCTTTGCTCGATCAAACCATGACGAACTCTACATCTGATTCTACATCCTCGCAAACATCTTCTCACACTGCCTCACAAACTTCTCCTGTAATTTTTCATCATCCTCTACATCTTCTCACACTGCCTCACAAACTTCTCCTGTAATTTTTCATCATCCTCTACCTGTCAAACTCGATTCCAACAATTTTATGTTCTTGCGACATCATGTCGAATCTGTCATACGTGCTCACAAACTTCTCAAATTCATAGAAAATCCTCAGATACCAGAACGATTCACAGTTGACGAAAATGGAGCAAAAACAATCAACAAAGCATACAACATCTGGGAGCAACAAGATCAAATGCTGTTTTCCTGGCTCTTGGCTTCGCTTTCTGAATCACTTCACGCTCACGTCATCAGTTGCAAGCATTCGCATGAGCTATGGAGTGAAATTAAAAAATTCTTTCGATCAAGTATCATCGCAAGAGCTCGTCAACTGAATTCGGAACTCTATAACACTGGAAAAGGTGATCGCTCAATTTCTGACTACTTCCTTCGTATTCAGACAATAGTTGATAACCTAATGTCTGTCGGTGAGCCTATATCAACCAAGCATCATATTAATGTGATCCTTGAAGGTCTTCCTGAGGATTACGAATCGCTTATATCATCTGTCACCTCTCGAAGCATTTTAGATCCTGTCACTGTCTCTGAACTTGAAGGCCTCTTATTGGCTAAGGAATTACGACTGGGAAAACTGTGTGATTCCTCACAGCAAACAATATTTTCTGCTAACGTTGCTCGACTTGAAGTTCCTTCTCAAAACACTGAAACTTGAACTCAGAACACTTCAGAAAATGCTTCAGCTCAAATTGCTCAGTTTGATAACCCTAGTGGCAATTCTTCCTATAGAGGTACAGGTCGTGGAGGTTTTAATAGAGGCAGAGGTGGTCGTTCAGGTGGTAGAAGCTCAGTAACCTGTCAAGTATGTGGCAAAAATGACCACAATGCTCTTGTTGGTTACCACAGATACAATCCAGCTTACACTGTTTCTACCTCATGGTCCTCATCCAATATGCAACAACCTCAACATCTATACTCAAACTAGTCTTACCAACCTCAACATCCTCCTTTTCCCATAACTAATCAATATCCAAATCAATACCAATCATCTCCTTTTGCTGCAACAAGATATTCACCCAATCAATCCAATTCATCACCATTTAATTTGGGACCACCATCTTACCCCTATACAAAACCTATGCTCTAGGAAAAAGTATTTAATATGTTTTCAAGATTTTTTGACGAATTCAAGCAGACTTTTCTAGACCAGATCAATAATCTAGACCGTACTGCGGGGATGTAATCCCATGTTTTAATAAGGTATCAAAGTACCCGATCCTCGGCCATTTTGTTGATGCGGTATACACACATGAGGATTGGTGAATCATACCATTCTGACGCATATAAGTGGGAAATGTTTAGTAAAATAATCTTGTGCATTAGTCATTATTACTCCTTAATAATTTACAGTATTATTGAACTAGGTCCTGATTTCAGCAAAAAAATTACAAAATACTACCTCCGTCCCGGTGGACTTTGCCAAGTGCAATGTAGGTGAGAAATAAAAATAGTAAAAACTGTGTGGTTGAGATTTGTGCAGAGGAGAGAGAAATGTGTAGAATCACAAATTAGTTGCTTTAATAGGTGTAGAAATAACTTGAGAAAGTTAAATGTATTTTATTTCTCTTATTCTGTGTAATACAATGAGATGAATACAGAATATATATATAGCTAGAGAAAAGTGGAATAAGGAAGGAATCCTCCTAATTAAGATTCCTTAATAAAGACAAGATAATTGGGGATATTTAGAGATTCTGAGATCTCTAAGATATCTCCTCATAAATGCTAAATCGGATGAGTAATTATCTGTAATAATCTACACTCCCCCTCAAGCTGGGTGATGGATATCATCCATGCACAGCTTGCTAGATAAGTCTTCAAACTGAATTCTGGGAAGTGCCTTGGTGAGTATATTCGCTATTTGCTGTCTGGTTGGAACATAGTTCAGCTGGATATCCTTTGCTGCAATCTTCTCTGATAAGAACCTTCTGTCTATATCAATGTGTTTGGTCTTGTCATGATAAACAGGATTCTTAGCAATACTGATAGTAGACTGGTTGTCACATGAGATCTGGATGGAGCTTTCAAATGGGAGTTTGAGCTCATTCATCAATCTTCTTAACCACAATCCTTCACAGATTCCTTGTGTTAAAGCTCTGAGCTCAGATTCCGCACTACTTCTGTCTAAGAGGCTTCCAGCCCAGTCAACATTTGTAAACACTTCAATCTTCCTTGTCCCTTGTTTCTGAAACAACAATCCTTTTCCAGGAGTCATTTTTAGGTACCTCAGAATTCTATACACTGCAGTTAGGTGTTCCTCGGTTGGGTCATTCATGAATTGACTTACCACACTTACTGAGAAAGCAATGTCTGGCCGTGTGTGAGGTAGGTATATTAGCTTCCCTACCAGCCTTTGATATCTACCCTTATCAACTGGTGGACTTTCAGTCTCACTGCCTAACTTCTTTGATATATCCATAGGAGTGTCCATAGGCTTGCACCCAAGCATTCCAGTTTCACTTAGCAAGTCTAGAACATATTTCCTTTGTGAAATGAAAATGCCCTTCTTAGATCTTGCCACTTCCATTCCCAGGAAGTACTTCAACTCGCCTAGCTCCTTGATCTCAAATTCTCTTGCTAGATGAGCCTTCAATCTGTCCAATTCAGCCTTATAATCCCCAGTCATAATAATATCATCAACATATACTATAAGAATAGCCAATTTTCCAGAGTCTGCTCTCTTTACAAACAGTGTATGGTCTGCCTGACATTGCATGAACCCTTGTTTAATAACTGATCTTGTGAACCTATCAAACCATGCTCTAGGAGACTGCTTTAGTCCATACAAGGACTTTTTCAATCTGCAAACCTGACCAGATTTCCCCAAGTCTTCTAATCCAGGTGGTACATCCATGAATACTTCCTCTTCTAGGTCTCCATTAAGAAAGGCATTCTTAACATCTAGTTGATGTAATGGCCAGTCTAGGTTCACTGCGAGTGATAACAGGATTAACAGCACTCTAATGGTGTTCAACTTTGCCACTGGTGCAAATGTCTCTGAATAATCAATGCCATAAACTTGGGTGAACCCCTTAGCAACCAGCCTTGCCTTCAGCCTTTCAATCTTTCCATCAGCCTGATATTTAACTGTAAATACCCACTTGCAGCCAACAGTTCTCTTCCCTGCCGGCAAATCTGTAAGCACCCAAGTTCCATTCTTCTTCAATGCTGCTAATTCATCATGGACAGCCTTCCTCCACCCTGGATGTTCAAGGGCTTCCTTGATGTTGTTAGGAACCTGAATACTATCAATCTTTGAAATAAAAGTTTGATAGTTTGCTGATAGTTTCTTATAACAAACAAAATTATAGATAGGATGCTTGGTACACTCCCTTACTCCCTTTCTGATAGCAATAGGCAAGTCTGGTTCCTCATCATCTCCTTCTATAGCCTCAACCTCTTTGTCATCAAGACTCAAATTTGAGTCAGATGATTGGGTGGTGTTAATTGGAGTGATGTGCTCTTCTTCTGGAACTCTGGTTCTAGGTTTCCGCTTATAGGTATTCTTGTAGAATGGGGAATTTTGATTTAGTGTAGGATTTTGGGGTAATGATTGGGGTGATAAAGTTGGTGGCTGAAATGGTGTGGTTGGTGGAGAGACTGTATTGTCTGGAGGGTTTGATTTAGGTCTGTCTGGGAGTATGGATTCAGTGTGGTTAGATTCAGATTCTTGGAGGTCTGGAATAGTGTCTGAAATAGGATTCAAAGACTGGATTTCATTGTGGTTCTCCCCCTGAAATTCAGTTTTGGAATAGAAAGGCTGATTTTCAAAAAAGGTTACATCCATTGTGATGTAGACCTTTTTGTTGGCAGGAGAATAACATTAATATCCTTTCTGGTTGGCAGCATATCCTATGAATATACAAGGTAAGGATTTAGGATCCAGTTTTGACCTAACTGGAGAATGGTTGTGAACAAATGCTTTGCAACCAAAGACCTTTGGTGGAAGATTGGTAATAGGGATGTGAGGATGTAGATAAGATAGGATTTGGTATGGTGTTTTAAATTTGTGAGTTTTGGAGGGCATCCTATTTATCAGGTAAGCTGTAGTTAGGACAGCCTCTCCCCAGTAGTGTTTAGGAGTGTTGTAAGAATTAAAGATAGAATAGTAATGAGAAGAATGATTTTTGTGTGTCATTGGAGGGTCAAGCCCATATATATATACATTACAAAGATATAATATTCCTTTAAGATTCTATACAATAATAATATCCTAGAGTATATTCCTAAAATATTCTAAAGCATATTCTAAAGATAGAAGAATATTCTAAAACATATTCTAAAGAATATTCTATAATGTCTTTCACACTCCTCCTCAAGTTGGAGCATAGATATTTATCATGCCCAACTTGTTACATAAGTAACCAACACGAATTCCATTTAGTGCTTTAGTGAACAAATCTCCAAGTTGCTCTCCAGTCTTCACATGTCCTGTAGAGATCAATCCTTGTTGTATCTTTTCTCGAACAAAGTGACAATCGATCTCAATATGTTTTGTTCTCTCATGAAACACTGGATTGTT